CGTTGGACGCTCAAAACTTGGAAGAGACTCTTGAGTTGCAAGAGAAACCTGCTGATATGGAAGAAAAGGTATGGAAGAAGATGAATAGTAGGGCGTGTGGAGTTTTCGGTCATGGTTGACGCCGGATCTTATTTATGATGTGATGAACAAGACGTCAGCGAAGAAGATGTGGGAAACACTCAATGAAAAGTATCTTACTAAGAGCATTGAGAATGAGCTTCACTTGAAGAAGAGGTTTTACCAGTTCAAGATAAAGAGGAGAGTTTCCATCAGGGAGCATGCTAACAACTTCACGAAGCTACTTTCAGACATGGCCAATGAAGATAACATGGTTGAGGATGAAGACAATGTGATGCTACTTTTGTATTCATTGCCTAAGGATGATTATGGTGCATTTGTTCTCACTATGATTAATGGAAGAACTACTGTTAGCTACAAGAATGTGACCTCAGCGTTAGTGAATTATGAGTTGAGGAAGAGTGTTGATGAGTCCTCCGAGAAGGCATCGGGAGATGCATTAGTAGTTCAAGGCCGTGGTTCAAACCAAAGTAGGAGATCACAGTCTAGAGGTGCACATCATGAGATTCATAGGAATCAGTGTGCTTTTTGTAAAGAGGATAGACATTAAAAAGCTGAATGCCCAAAAATAGATCGACCTGAGAAGAATAAGGGGAAAGTTGTACAAGCTTCAGAGTGAATGTTGCCAAGACTAGTGGTAACAATTCAGATTCAGATTCTTCAGGCTATTCGTTATCCGCACTACCATCAGTTTGTGATGCCGACTCTACGGAGTGGATGTTGGATTCGGGTGCTTCTTACCACTTTTGTCTTAGGAGGGATTTGTTCTCCAGCTTTCAGGAGTTGGAAAGAGAGGATGCCGTGCTCATGGCTAATGGACATGCATGCTCTATTGGTGGTATTGATACTGTTCGAATTAGGATGAGTGAAGGAATGATGCGAGAGTTGGATGATGTAAGGTTTGTTCCATAATTATAGATGAACATCATTTTACTTGGAGCTTTGGAGACAGCAGGCTATAAGGTGACCTTGGTAGACGCACGCTTGAAGGTCATATTGGGGTCTATGATTGTGATGAAGGGCGTCAGAAGGAGCAATTTGTATTAATTTATCGGAAGTACGGCGATTGATAGGGAGCTGACGACTTTATCAAATTTGACTAGATCGTGACGTTGTTTGATGTTGGGTTATTTGATTGGTAATATCGTGCATAGGTTGTTGAGGAGTGTTTTGACCTGCAGTTTGAAGTCCTGTGAACCCATTGGTATGAGCAAGAAGACCAATGTAGAGTTTGGCACTTCTATCCATCATTCGAGGGGTCTTCTGAGGGGTGTTCATTCAGGCATTCGAGAGCCTTCCAAGGGAGTATCATTGGGAGGTAATAGGTATGTGGTTTCCGTAGTTGGGGATTGTTCTAGGCATTAGTGAGTTTCAACCAAGTCTAGTTGGTGTGAAGTCCTAGAAGCCCACAACAAATGGAGGAAGTGTGTTGGCAAAAGTGTAACCCAACGTTCTATTTATGGTAGGGGTTCTTTCTTGCGTTTACACCGAGCTCAAGGCAATTGGAGACACTTCACTGGTGTGGAAACTTTGGGGCGACGTGATGAGATGGCAGATTTAGGGAGCTGTTCCTTTCTAAAGGAGGATAGACATTTGATGTCGAGCATTGGCATTGGTGTGCGGGCTACGACATGTTTGGGCTATCTTATGCATAGGTTGTCGACTGCTGTTTGTAGAGATTTTGGATCTGGTAGAGCTGTTTCAGATTTTGGGTTGCGTCGGATGTTTGGCTACCCAGCACTTGGTCACATAGTGGATGTGAGATTTGATCTGATAGCATATTTGGGATTCAGAGGCGTGTTTGATTATCAGGTATTGGTTTCTGACTTTGTTCTGAGTAGGTATGTCACGTTTGACTCTCGGCAGGTAGAGAATGGTGATCAGATCATTAGGACATCTCAGCGGGTGGAGAGTGATGCTACTCCATATTAGATGGAGATTACTCTACATACTTCAGATCATACTACATCGTTTGGGATTTTAGCTGATCTGACACAGATTGGGAATTATGTTGATTTGGATGTAGATGATAGGTTGATCGATTCGAGTGTAGCTGATAGATGGAGTTTGGATATGGCTATTGGTTCATCTCAGGTGGAGATGTTTGGATTGTTTCAGTTTAGGGCCATTAGAGGTGCTATTAGTCATAGACTTGATCGTGATGTTGGATAAGGGTTGCAAACTATTCTAATGGATTGAGGTCTTTGGATGCCATTTGGGTGAACTACGTTCGGCTTGATTCCTTAGGTAAGAGGATACGTAGGCAGTCTTTTCGATGCACCCGATTTTAATTTCGATCAGAGAGATCGTTTCAGCTTTAGTTTGGATCCCGGACTTGTTGTGAATTGAGTCTGTTATCGTAGGATGTTTCCACAACGTCCTGGACGCAACAAGTAGGACTATTGGATGATTTGGTGTTGGCTCAGTTTTTTGATAGAAACATTCGCCGAGGTGGAGAATTAAAGAATTGACGAACGCGACGAGAGAATTGTAGGAAATTAAGCAGGAGAATTCAGCCAGGCAGACTGGCGATCGACCGCGAGTCAGCGGCGGTCGATCGCGCCAATCCTGTAGGTGATTTTGCTCTCGGGATGAGATTCGGTCAACCGTCGTGATTGACCGTGGGTTTCCTGTAATCGATTTAAGTCTCTGTCGTTTGGTTCGGTCGACCATCATGGTCGACTGTGATGGTCGACCACAGACTATTTTGGATTGGGCTTTAGGTTTTCAACCCGTTTTGTTTTGAGTTAGTATATAACTCTTATCCTGATTAGTTAGGGTTAAGCAATGACGTTTTTGAGCAGTTTTTTGAGAGGATTGCTGTATCCAACTGTGGGAGATTTGTGAGAGATCTAGAGTTTTGTTTTAGGATATGATCAGTGAGATTTGTAACTCTATTTGCATTCTCTTGATTTCTAATAGTAAGAACTCCCCTCTCCTTGCCCCGTAGACATAGGCAACTTGTCGAACCACGTTAAACTCGTTGTCTTGTTGTGATATTGTGTTTAGCTTATTGGTTGTGATTTATCTCTTGGATTGTTCGTGTCGCTTCGAGGCTTCCGCCGCGCACAACAAGATCCCATCAATATTTGAGACAACATAAGAAAACTTGTTCTTTCTTGAGAAATACATTGACAAATTTACACAAATACAGGGATCAACTCCAATTTCAGCAGCAACACAAAAATGAAGAAATATAGTAAATTAAATAAAGAAAATTCTTACCTTTTTTCCCCTGAAAAATTTACAACGTTCAATCTTTTTGAATCATATGAATTTTTTGACATGGAATAAACAAAAAACAAAGACGTCCCATTTTCAATGGAAATTTTTTCAATTTTCCAATTAAATAACAAATGAAAGAGCTACCCTTAAAAGAATTTACACATATAAAACTCACTTAAATAGAAAATCTAAGGAATTTGACCTTGAGATTTAGCGAGAGGAATAGAGAGCAACATAGAGAGAATCAGCAGGCTATTGAATTAAATTAAGTCGGGTCGGGTCGGGTTGAAATATTTTCAAACCACCCATTCTTCGCTTACTATAAAATCCCAAAGTCTCCTACTCCTCTCCAATCTCAGCCTCCAGCCTCCAGCCGTCGCGGCTCCAGCCCTACTTCTTTAGAGAGCCGTCGCCGCTCCAGTCCTAAGTCTGAGGGCTGCGATCCAACCCCACACTCAGACCCCCCAACTCCAACTCCAGTCTTGGTCGCGGGCTTCCAAGTCTCCAACTCTAGTCGTCGCGGACCTCGCGAGTAGTTAAGGTGATTTTTAGCCTTTAAAGCTTCAAAATAGAGGAGACAAGGCTTAGATACTTAATTAAATTATTTTTTCTCTTCTATTTCTAATTATTTTTCGTCAGCTCAAAAAAAAAAAATCTTTATCCTGGGTAAATTTGGTATGTTGAATTGGTTTTACGATTATCATTAATTCTTACGGATTCTTGTTTCCTTGCATTAACCAAATCTAATGCATGAGACACAGATACAACGAGATACAGGTACAATGATTATTTTCATTAATTAAAAAGACACTTCAATTTTGAAATGATTTGATGTTTTTAGGTTTTTCGATATTATTCTCGAATCTTCGAAATTGCTCATACAGCTCGCAAAGTGTTCTTGCAAAAATTGGTCCCATAATTACCCTTCAGGTTAGTACCCCTCCCCAAATCCCAAATGCCCATGTTTTCACTTAAGTTTGAATTTTTTGGTATTTAGGAGATTGCAAGACCCCTCGAGATTTGACATTTGAGTCAAATCTCTGGAGAGATTGGTATGTATAAACTATTGAAGATTTGAGGGACTACTATCTAAACCTTATTCTTTTTTAAAATGTGATTTAAATTCATGATTGAACTTGATATTTTTACAATTATAATGTATAAATTTGTAGTTTGAATGTTTGATTAAGGAAACAGGTTGGGTAGTTCAATATGACGGATATCAAAACATGCCACGTAGTTTAATTCACTACGTAATAGTACTATGTGCGTGTGTTATGTGCATGACAAAAATATTATTATTTAGTATAATTAACTTCTTTACACAAAATAATTAACTTTTAACATAATTTGTAACTTTAAAATAAGAAGAAAAATACAAAAGTGACATGTCATCTATAATTAGAGGGTCTCAATTTTACTTAATATATATCTCATAATAAACTTTAACTTGCCTCCAAAGAAATTAACCGAAATACAACCAATCATTAATTTTTGGAGAAAGATTCTCAATTTTGACGAAAAGATATATTTTGAATCAATTAATAATGACTCTGGTCGAAACGATATGATACCCCTCGAGACCTAAAAGCAATTAAACTGTTCCTAGCTCTCCCGCTCAAGACATTGATCCCAGGCTTATTTTGCGCCAAATCTCTCTCTCTCTCTCTCTCTCTCTCTCTCTCTCTCATATTTCTTATATACAATAAAAGAGAAATCGGGGATCAAGTTTTTGATACTCAGAGTTCAATTAAGGTACATTTCCCTTTCTTTTTCTTTAATGATTTTGCTTCTAGGTTTAATCTGATAGATAATTTAGTTCCTCCTTTCCTAAAGATTTCTCTTTTATGTAATGTAATTGCGTTATTTTTGCCTTTATCGATTAACAAAATGACTTCTTTTCCTTCGAACTAGGGTTTCCATTTGCGGAATTATAAGTTGGGCGCTTTTTGTTTGCCCTAATTTGAGTAAAAGATTGAATAGTTCATAAATATTTCAACTTTAAACCCTAAAATTACGGTTTATGCTTGTTTTCTGATCACATAGACTGCGGGGTTTTTCTTTTCTTTTCTTTAATGTGAATAAAATATCAAATAGTTCAAGAAGTTTTTGGGGCCTAAAAGGCTAGAAATTGGCTTTTTTGCTTTCCAATTAGGATTTTCTGTTTTGGGTTGCTGGAACTTATATTTGGGGGCTTTCCATTTTGTAATGTGAACAAGATATCAAATAATTCACAAATATCTAAACCTTGAAGGCTATTGTACTTGTTGTTGAATTAGAAGACTGATACATATTATCCGGACTTTTTTTTCTTCTCAGGAAACAAGAAAAAAGGAATTTTTTTAACGTCAATCTATTGCCTGACCTTTATATATTAGCTCTCTAGCTTAATATCTATACTATCCAGTCTTCAATTGTTGTTAGTTCTATGCGGTACATTGCTCATTCCTCATATTGGAACTTTGTAATTTTCAGAATTGTAATTTTCAGAATTATTCCGTTTATCAGGTCGAAATGGGTCGCTATAAATCGAAGGTTCAACTCAGTTTGATCAAAGACCAGAACCAACGAAAGATTACATGCCAAAAAAGAAAGGCAGGATTAAAGAAGAAGGCCTATGAGTTATCCACCCTCTGCGACATTCCGGTCCTCGCATTATTCTTTGATCCAAGCACCGGAGAGGTCGACTCATGGCCCGAAAATGCTCAAGAAGCAAGAGAGATCATGGAGAGGTACATGAGCTCTAGCAAGAAATCCCGAGAGGAGAGCACATTCAGCCCTCCAAGCTTCAATAAAGCTCAAACCTGCGAGCTGCAATCTGATCTCAAGAATGCCCGCCTAGCAAAGCTCCAGAGGTTGGAAGCTAAGATCAAATCTGTTGACGAGAGGATTCAGCTGCTTGAGAAAGGGCATATTATGGCTGAGGGAAGCTCTGAACTAGGGAACAGTACATACCGGCAAGACTCGATGCAAGAGAGTGTCAGGTGTGATTCTCCTTGTGAAGTGATGATGCTTGGCCAATCTGATGTTGATAAGGGCACTGGCATTCCAAATATCGATTTAGTCAACAACAGGATCGAGTTTGTTGAGAATGGCAGTAACAATTATGTTGTTTCGAATGAAAGTTTGGAGAAAGAGAGAACTGCATTCTGGCAAGATTTGTTGATGGAAGATAGTATGCCAGAGTACAGTTTTGGAGCTTTTCTAGACTTTGAACTGGACAGCTTCACTGTGAATCTGCAGGTGGGAAATTGTGATGGAGGAGCCCATTACATTAATTTTGCCAAATTTGATCATTTGGGTGTGGAGCTTATGCAGGATTATCCTCTGTCCAGTGATTTTTATGCTCCGGAGGAACTCCCATTGTTTTACTGAACAGAGCCATTCGTAGAAGGAGATGGGCTATATTGGTTCAGCTTCGGGTATGGAAGGAGCAATTTTGTTTGTATAGATTATTTTTTTATAGATGTTTACCATGGTTTGTTTATTGCACCAATTCAGCTGTAACAAATGCAGCAATTTTGTACTGGGGAGGAGTATAATTTATGTAAAGAATTATAATTACAATTCTAACCTTTATGCAATTGAAAAATGGTATTATTAATAAGTTCCGATTTTGTTAATCCTATTACTGGTGTCGGTAGGTTATTGTTCTGCTTCTTCTATTACTAAGAAAATTGCTTATTTTTTCAGTTTCCCGTTGTTTGAAGCCTATTACTGTGATTAATGCTGCATTTTTAGCATTTCTTTGCGTACATATATTTATTAGGCTATGGCTCATCGTATGTGGCTAAGTTCTAAATTTTGCATAATGTCACAGGAAATGGAAATATTATTTTCACTTTCTCCTGTTGTCAATAAATTGGTGCTGTTGCTGATGCTTGTGTAATTAAATGATTCCTTCATTTTGATTTATCCTATGTCTTGGCTTTTGTCTTTATGTGAAGTATTTAAGTACATTTTATTATATGTATTAGCATTTTGCTTGTAGACTCCACTGCTTTACCAGCACAGTCTAACCTCGGAATCACAAATTGGGAGCAAGAGCCTGTGTAAGGATAATATTTAGCATTTAAAGTCTCGTAAATGACAGACATTTGTTTGTATAGATTCGTTTTTATAGATGTTTACCATGGTTTGTTTATTGAACTAATTCAGCAGTTATAAATGCAGCAATTTTGTACCTGGCACCAGTGTAATCTATGTAAATAGCTATAATTACAGCGATAACATTTATGCAATTGACAATAATGTTGTTCCTGTTGCTGGATTTGGTGTTGGTGTGTAATTGTTCTGCTTCATCTATTGGTAAGAAAACTGCTCAGTTTTACAGTCTCCTGAACTGTGTTTTGAAGTCTACTACTTGATTAATGCTGCATTTTCAGCATTTTTTTTGTTTGTATGTATTTACCAGGCTATTGACATGAGCTATCAAATTCATTCAGTTTATGGCTTGCAACAATTTAGTACCAGGGAACTGGGCAACAACATATGTAGCTTTTAACTTCTAAATTTTGTACGTCAATGTGATGGGGAATTTCCTTGGAAGTAGAATATAAAATTCCCAAGTTCACAAGAACACTCTATGTAAATAAATCTCTGCTACACCTAAAACTCAAAAGTCCCTCCTCAATTTATTTCTTTTGCTTTTCCACTTGTCCTCTCAGTCGCCACCAATGAGTTTGGAGGAGAATAACCAGTCATTGGAGAGGACTTAACAACAACATTAACCAGTAGAAACAAACAGAAAGCATACTTGACTAACATCGTCATAAGGAGAGGACTTAACAACAACATTAACCAGTAGAAACAAACAGAAAGCATACTTGACTAACATCGTCATAATATTTTCTGCTGGCAAAAATTATTTCACATAGAAACAAACAGAAAGCATACTTGACTAACATCGTCATAATATTTTCTGCTGGCAAAAATTATTTCACACGGTAGTAATATGCATAATCTACGATAAAGATCTCTTTACAGAAATTACCTCGTTTCCAGGTACAAAATTCATGCGTTTATATAGTTGAATTGTTACAATAATGCTCCATACTAAACATTACAGAAATCTGAAATAAAATTGACGCATGCCTTGCTAGCTACAGTGCGTCCCATCTGAGCCATTATCTCTGCTTAGAAAAACCACGGTGCTTCTTCCTTCAACATCGCCTGAGCATCAAAACATGGTTATTTGAAATCCTACTTGAATTCTCAGGTGAAATCATCGTGAATATCTGCTGTCCATCACCACTGATCGAAGGATGATTCTGTGTGAGACCGAGACCCGGATCACCAAATTTACTGTAATTAGACTCTCCATCGGCGTTTCCAATCAAAAAATTGCTATCAGAAAACCCAATCGAATTCTCAGGTGGATTCATCACGAATGTATTGAATCCATCAGCACCGGCCAATGGATGATTCTGCATTAAACTGAAACTCAAATCGCCAAAATTAATGTAATTTGCTCCTCCTTCAGCGTTTCCCATCAGAGACTGGTATCAGAAACCCCAATCGAATTTTCAGGTTGATTCACGGTGCTGTTCAAGGGGAGATTTTGCATTAAATCAAGACCCAAATCGCCATACTCCCCAAAATTACTGTAACTATCATATAGATTCAATGCAAATGTATTCTGTCCCCTGTCCATCAAAGTTCCATTGTAGTACTCTGCAATGCTACCACTAAAAATCTTAAGAGGATAATCTTGTTGCCTCCAGCTCGCCTGCAACAAATCTTGCCAAAATGCAACCCTCTCTCTTTTCTTGTCGTCAAAACCCTGAACCCTCTCATTCACAGAACTACTCTTAGAATCTAACAGTTGTAGATCCTCAACCCGTTCATTCTTGAGCTCAGATTCCATCTTCCGTACACCATCCTTTAAGAATCTTGGCAAGTCAAAGCAGTTAATTTCTTTGGTTTTTTCCATCAGCTTTAAGGTGTATCACCATGGTATCTGTCATTTCTTGAGAATTGAAAGAGTCGATTTCTCCGGTGCTTGGATCCATGCATATTGCAAGGACCGGGATGTTGCAGAGAGTGGATAGCTCGTGGGCTCTCTTCTTCAATCCTTGCTTTATTTTCTGGTGTGTATTGCTTCTTTGAGACTGGTCTTTGATCAAATTGAGTTTAACTTTCCCTCGACCCATTTTGATCTGATCAATAAAAAGATTATAGAAATTAATATTTATTGAAGAAACACTTGGAAGAATCAAGTGTTAGCCTTTTTGTTTTGATGATGATTTACAAACACCATTATTGGTGCTAATTTTTTATTGAGCTATATTGTAGATTACAATTCGTTAGCACCATTGATGGAGGAGTGGATGGAATATGAGCTACAATGACGATATCTAAGGAGGTGGAGGCAAAGTGATGAAGTAAAGCTTTCAAAGAGCACTATATACATGAGAAGCTTCATCAACATAGAAGCAAATATCAAGACTCAAGCCATGTACTTATATGTGAGGGATATTTGCTATTTTATTTTCTCTCTAGTACTTAATGTAGGCAAGTAGTTTGTTGATTACATTTGAAGCTATTGGGATAACACACTTACATATTTTCAATACTCATATTTTGACATTTTTGCTAAAATAATGATTTTCACAAATACGAGGACATTTTTGCAAAATTCCTTTTCAAATAAGTTTGTTATTATGTTTATAAACTATTTCCAAAGTTTCATATTTTTTGGAATTTATTTACTATTTTTAAAAGATATTTGAAACTCATTTTCAAAAATCAATACTGGCTAAAAAATCGTTATTAGTCGACTGATGCTAGAGATCAATTGACTGATGAAACCCGCCAGAATCTTAAAAAGTTTCTATTTATTATTTACTGACCAGTCGACTAATGACCTTATCAGTCGATTGATTAACTAGTCAGTCGACTGATGAGCTGGAAATTGCCTGAAACGGTCAGCTCATCAGTCGACTGATGAAACCTGTCAGTCGACTGATAAGCCTTCCAACGGCTAGTTTTATACAGTTTTAAAAATCTCGATTTTTTAGGGATTTTGTATGTTTCTTTGGGGCTTGGCTGTCATCTTCACTTCTTATAAATACCCACCAACCCCATTAACTTCAGTAACCAGTAAGCATTAAAAAATATCTTGAGTTTGTGTTTATTGTTTAAAAGAGCTTCAACTTTCATTTGTTTTCACACTTTCAAATCTCACATCCCAAGCTTCACTTGCAATCTCTTCCTCTTGCCATAGGGCTGCTATAAGAGAGGGTTTTTCTTTTATTTGTAACTATTGTAAGCTTGATCTCGTGGAGATCTACTGTGTGGTTGTGAGATCTTAGTGGAGATCGTTGTGTAGAGAAGTTCCGGCTTCCAAACCGGATGTGTTAGTGGATTTCTCCTCAATATAGTAGGGAGCGGGGATGTAGGTCAAAGGACCAAACCTCGTAAACATATCGTGTGTCATCAATTAGCTAACTATTTCTATTCTCTACTCTCTTTTATTGTTATTGCACTTCATATTTGTTTGTGGTTTATTAAAAAAAATATTTTAATTGTATATTCATTATCCATAAACCCTATTCACCCTCCTCTAGGACCTTTCAATTAGTATCAGAGCAAGGTCTCTACTATTTGTTAGGCTTAAACCCCTTAGAGAAAAGATCTAAATGGATGCTTTAATGAATATGCATATGTTAGAAGGACAATCCACCACTAGGCCACCTATTTTTACCGGTAGCAACTTTGCCTATTGGAAAGTTAGGATGATGATTTATTTACAATGCATTGACCTTGATATCCTAGTCATTGTGGAGAAAAAATATGTCAAGAAGCCTAGTAATGAAATGACCGAGCGTGAAAGGAACTTAGCTAACCTTAATATTAAGGCTATGAATGCACTAATTTGTGGTCTTATCCCTAATGAATATAAGAGAGTTTTTACGTGTGCAACCGCACACAAAATTTGGGAGAAATTATGCATCACTCATGAAGGAACCCCCAAGTAAAGGAGTCCAAGATTAGTGGACTCGTGCATGATTATGAACCTTTTAAAATGCTTCCAAATGAATCTATCGATTCTATGTTTTCTCGGTTCACTAACATCATAAATAAATTACATGGTCTTGATAAGGACTTGGAGAATCAAGAGATGAATTATAAAATTCTTCGCTCTTTGACGCCGGCTTGGGAACCTAAAGCCACGGCTATCGAAGAAGCTCATGACCTCTAAACTCTCACTCTTGATGGACTTATTGGCAAGCTCAAGGTCCATGAAAAGAAGATCAAGGAGAAGGAAGAAGCAACCCCAAAAGCAACTGAGGAGCCACCCCAAAATTCAAAGTCTATTATGCTTAAGGGAGCAATTGATGATTGATCCTTCTCGGATAGTGAAGTTGATATCTCTAGAGAAGTGGCACACCTCTCTATAAGAATATCAAGATAATCAAAATGAATAAAAATTTTAAAAATCAATCT